TATTATTTTCACAAATCAAACTAATTAATTAATATTTAACTTGGAAGTTAATCGTTGATATATGGTTATTATTTTCGCAAATCAAACTCAAACTCAAACTCATTGAGAAAATTATATTAGAATTTATTGATATGTGGAGAGTTATTACTTAGTAATTTTTGATATAATTTTCAACCCGTTGTTAAGTTTACTTTTTTTTTATTAATATCATTGCATTTCTTTGTTATTTGTTTTTATTGACTATTGTAATTTTGAATATTTGCTAAAAATTCATATAATTTTTTAAAATCTTATAAATTCATATTGTCCTTTCAAATCTTATGAATTCTATTAAAATCTATTAAAATTCAATCCTATGAAATCTTGATTGTATAAAAAGTCTTTTAAAAAAATCTATAAAGTCTCTCCAATTCTAAAATGTCTTTTAAAATCTGTAGAATTTTTTATCTCAAAAAAATCTTTTAAAATCCTAATCCAATACACCCCTTAAGATGAAATAAAAAGATAAAAGCATTTGCCTCATCATTTAATTAGAGTTTTTAAAGTTTTTAATATCCACCAACTGCCTTTCTAGCTATTCATTTTTCTTAAATGATCATATAACCTGTAAAAGATACTTTTTATCATATAAATACTATTTAAATAGAAAAAAAAACAAATAGAATTAGGAATTTGTGCATAGGTTACAGGGTTCACTTTTCCAGTCACTACAGATAAGTTATCTGCAGTAAGTCCAATACGACGTCGTTTTGGGACAGAAATTATTGTATTTTGTAATTTTAATTTATTTCAGGGTTATTATTGTCTTTATAATTATAATTTTTTAACTTTTTTATTCTCAAAATAACGTCGTTTTGAGAATAAATACAGATAACTTATGTTGGTTATATATGGGAATTTATAACTCCTTCATTTTAGTTTGAAAAAGTATAAAGAACTTCTGGCATGTCTTGGAAACAATATTATTGCACGCTACATGCAACCAAGTAAAGACCATAAAATAAAACAAGAGATATGAACCAGAAAACCTTAACCTTAGCATTATCCTATATCAACATAAATCATGAGCATGAACAAATATGAATATATATTTTGCAAACCTCTCAATCTCAGCTAAAATGCAAAGTTCCTCTCAATTTTACAATTCAGACAACAGAAGTATAATCGAACAATTTTTAAATTTAACACAGATCAACAACTAAAAAACATAAAATTTAACTCAGATTATTGCAATTATAACTTAATAAAAAAATAGTTTAATGTTTCTCATGTCATAGGAGATAAATTTATTTCCTGCACAAGGCATATGGAGCCCATGTGAGCCCTTGCGAGGAGAAGAAAGAAAAAAATGAAAAAAAAAATGAATCTCACGTACTTTTATATGATAAATTTATTTATATAAAAAACACTAAACTCATAAAAAAATTTGTAATATTTATTGCTTCAATCTGATGGTTGATGAATGGTGCTGGACCTTGAACTCACCCTCTCACTCTTCTCCAATTATAGCGTGAGCTTTCTCTACACTATACTTTAAACAAAAACAATAAAAGAAAAAGGATTTTCGAAACTTCAAACCAAGTCCAGCTTAAATTTTATTATAAAATCAGTTTAAGAATACATATTCCATCTTTTTATTGCATGTCATGGTCTATTAAGTAAAATACCCATCAATTTAACTTTTTATAAAATCAATTAATGATGAATTACAAATTCTCAATTCATCCTTCTTTTTCTTCTGTTAATTTTGCCATCTCTTATTCTCTTTCTCTGTATTATACACCATTTTTTTATAGTAGGGGTATTTAAAATTTTATCCTATGTTTTAAAATCTTAAAATTTATAATAGATGTTCAAAATGAGTTGTAGGTGACATTAAGTGTTTGCACAAAGAGAAAAAAAGAAAAAAAAAATCTTCACAAAGTTGATTCGTGATCTTGACTCTTTAAGTCACCGCTAAGAGAGGTATTTATATTAAATTGGGAGTAAATTATAACTCTCTTAAGAGAAATTAGGAGTTATTGTTTCTCTCTTTAGAGTTATTTATATTAAGAGGAGGGATATTTTCACTACCAAAATTTTTCACTACCTACTTACTACCTATCTAATCATCATTGAATTAACATTTTCTTTCTCTTCAAAAACTTTTTAACATTTTCTCTCTTTGATCCAATGCTGATGTAATGAGTAGTAAATTAGTAGTAAGAATTTCTGCACATTAGTTAACATTTTTTATTTAAAATAAAAATTCTGTAGAGAAATATTGTCAACGCCTGACCTGCCCCTTCCCTACGCATAGTGCGTGTTGGTGGTTTGGGTTGCATGAGAAGTGGGTAGCACGTCTTTTTGTAACAACAAATCAAAATTCAGGTTTAACAAATCAAAGGTCCACTACCAATTCACTGAGATATAAATCGGGTATATATACATTCCCAACGTTTCACAATAAATAAATAAGATTAGAAGCGTAAAATTTTTGTGATTCGTTCAAAACCAGGTTACTTTAATGAAAATATCAAAATCGATTATATAATAAACTTGAGAAATACAGTTACAAACCATCAATTTATACCAAAACCCAAATTCAGTTTGTATATCCTCATTCCAATGACTAATTGTATTCAGTTTCTTTCACTCGGATTTTTTTTTTTTCTAGATCTCACGTGGTCCTTCCATTTAAGAGCTGCTATTTGGACAATTTTTTTTTTATTTCTTCTTTCTCCTCGTTAGTTATATGATTTTAATTGATTTGGATCACTGAATAAATGGTGGTCCCGACCATTGAAATTTTTCTCCTTTCACTCATTATTTTTTACATTCTTGTCATGTATAGAAAAAGAAAAAAAATTAATTAGATCTCAACGGTTGGCACAATTGATAAATGAGCTCTGTTTAAGGAGTAAATTGTTAGGGTTGAAAGATCTATACTTCAAATTCTAGACGAAGCAATTTGGGACCGGTAGCAAAGATCTTTATCCTTTATACTAGCAAGAGAATTACTCTCATCCAAACGAAAAACCAAAAAAATTAATTAAAGCCATTAGGATTGGCTAGTGAAAAGAGACTTTATAATTTATATGAAATTATTGGTTTAAATTCTTGTATTAAAAAACAAGTTCATACAATATTCATTATTAAGGAATATAATTTCGTTATTGATTCAGCAATTATGCTATAATAATATTAGTAGATAATATAATCTTTCACAATTAATCCCGCGATAACATCATATTTGAAAAAATAATTTCTCAATAATGACAAAAAAATATAATCTCGGCTAAAAGTACTCCACCAATAATCTTCTTAAATTGCTCCATGGGTGGGGACCCACCAACACCAAATAATTTTTATTTTAGTTTGAAAAAATATATATAATCATTAAAGGTTGGTATATTTGCTAGAACCTTTTTGCTCTAACGGTGACTTTAATTTCGTGCTCAGATATGCGATATGTAATCCTACCGTAAATTTTTATTGAGTTTGATGATTTTCCCTTACCTGAGGGCTGTATTTTTCTATAATCTAAATTTTTATTTACTAAAAAAATGGAAAAAGTATATAAGTTTTTTTTTTACATATTTCAAAAATAATATTGCAACCTCTAATTTAAATTTTATTATAAAATCAATGTAAGAATACATAATCCATATTTTTATTCCATGTGATGTAATAATTTATTATGTATGCAAAATTTTCAGAATGATATGAGTTCCCCTTGGATGGTCTACACTCTACACTTTCCTGGATCAATTTTTCTGTTCTTGTTAGTAGTGCTCTCACAGTGTAGCACCCATTCTTTTGGGACACCCCACAATCAGAGCTTTAGCTATCCCAATCTCTAATATCTACCAGTTATTTCATAAGTTTTTTTTTGGGCCTGGATCATAGTAATTTCTCTTTAAAATAGAAAAAAGAGAGGGATTAAGGGGAAAAAAATAAATAAAAAAAGATAGAAATGGAAGAAAGTTAAAATGGACCACTGAATAAATGATAAGCCTGGAACATATTAAATTTTTTCCAATTACTTATTTATTTGTCATAAACATATAATGTTATATAATATTATATGAATACTATTTAAACTAATAAAAATAAATAAAATTACTGATTTGCATGTAAGTTATAGGAATTGATATTATTAATTGAATACATGTGATAGGTGTAAATAATAATTTTTAATTTTTTTATTATTGTTTATGTACCGTAATGCATTCTTACTTTTTACGGTCATTTTCGTTATACATAATTCGATGACTAATAATAATTGTTCCGGATAATATTGCGTGCACGAATGTTTTTTTTTTTTTTTGATATTTTTCTTTGGTAGAACAATTTGCATCTCATCACTTTTGTTGCTGTATGCATTGTTGTATATGAAAATATTTAATTATAGAATACATAACTATTTTTGATTTGTATAATAATTGATGTTTCTTAATTGCATAGTTTTATTTATGGTTGATACTTACATAGTTTTATGTGAGTGTTGTAGCTTTTTCACCTCACAAAATAGCACAAAATGCTGACACATTTTTTTCTTTTAACGATTAACCAATGACAATCATTGACAAAATTTTTAATTTTTGTTCTCCGTGCATCGCAACGAGCAATACACTAATTATAATATAATATTGTATAACATCAAGAAAATTGTTCTGGTTAGTTATTCTTAGTTACAATTCAAGGGGGGTAGTTAGTAGTTACTACTTACAGCTATCTCATCAATATTTTAATGAATTAATAAAACAAAAGACGAAAGAAGAAAAAGGCAAATATACCTACTTTTGACTTTGATTGGTCAAAGTATGACTTTTGGCAAATAGCAGAACATCAGGGATAATCTCAGTGATTTGCTAAATCACAACCTGAATATATATTTAATAAATGAGATTACCAATCATTGAAAAAAATTGTAAAATCAAAAAGCTTCTAATTCTTCTTCTCCCGCTAATTTCGCCATCTCTCACTCTCTCTGGTCTCTCTCTTATTACATAACACAGAGCAGAGCACACACATTTTTCATTCAACCAACCAACACAATGACTCGAACATGTTTCTTCTTTTGGTTATTGTTCTTGTGCATCAGTGTTAGCAACTCCACACCACTATACCCCTACGGTAAGAATAACAAAGCTCCAAATTTTCTCTCACATTTCATATTTTTCATGCACTAACATTAATCTAATAATATTATTTATACACACTCCACAGGTTTTTCTTATGACATTAACTGCGGCACTTCAACAAACACCACCGACTCCTTCAACACCACATGGATTTCCGATCGATTCTTCACCGGCGGCTCCGTCGCTCTTGTCTCTGAACCTCTTCGTTTCCAACAACCATCGGAAAAAACCCTCCGTTTCTTCCCCGCTTCTTCCTATGGCAAGAAGAATTGCTACTCTTTCCCTTCACTCCCCTCCGGTCGTTACCTCCTCCGTACATTCACCGTCTACGATAACTACGACGCAAAGTCACGCCCTCCCTCCTTCGACGTCGCCCTCTCCGGTACCGTCCTCTTCAGCTGGCGTTCCCCTTGGCCTGAATCCGTCGCTCGCGACGGCGCCTACTCCGATCTCTTCGCCTTCGTCGACAATGCCACGTCCTCCACCACCGCCGGCGCCGATCTCTGTTTCTACGGCTACGCCACCGACGCTCCGGTTGTCTCCTCCGTCGAGCTCGTCCAGGTCGATCCGGCGTCCTACGACTCTTCCTCCACCGGAGAAAACATCGTTCTCGTCAACTACGGCAGGATTTCCTGCGGCCCCGGCGTCCACTGGGGGGCCGGGTTCACCAACGACACTGACCGGTTCGGCCGGTCCTGGCAGACCGACTCGGCGTTCCGAACCAAACCGGGAAATTCCGACGATGTTCGAGTGGTGACGACGAACAGCGTGAGCGGCGCTGACGTGGAACCTAATTATTTTCCGATGAAGCTTTACCAGTCGGCGGTGACTATAGACGGTGAGTTGGAGTACGAATTGGGTGTGGACGCGAAGATGGATTATATGGTGTGGCTGCACTTTGCGGAGCTTGATTCGAGCGTGAAGAGAGCGGGGGAGAGGGTGTTTGATGTGTTCATCAATGGAAACAATGTGAGCAGGGTTGATATATACAAGGAGGTGGGTGGTTTTGCTGCCTTTACTTGGCATTACACTGTCAAGAACTTGAGCGAAAGCGTGTTGAATATTAAGCTTGTGGCTGCTGTTGGTGCCCCTATCATTTGTGGGATTGAGAATTATGCATTGGTCGCCAATGATCCTTCTACTGTCCCTCAACAAGGTGTGTTGTGCTCATATTCTTTTTTATTTGAATCTTACAAAATTGGAAATATAAGAACTGGAATGTCATATGTTCTAAATTTCTAATCATGTCATCAGTCTTTTGGCAATTATAAGGTAAAGTTGACTAGGTCTTACCCTTCTCATAGCAAAAGTTTTATAGCACTAAGTTTTCATTACAAATTTGGAAATATAACACTCAAATTGAATGGGGGCTTGTTTTTTTAGTAACTGCCATGAGAGCATTGAAGGGTTCTCTTCGTGTTCCGGATAGAATGGGTTGGAATGGTGATCCTTGTGCTCCTACTGACTGGGATGCTTGGGAGGGTGTTACCTGCCGTATGAATAACGATAAAACTGCTCTTGTCATAAGTGAAATGTAAGCATTCTTTCCACTTCTCCAGAGTTGTGTATTTACTTTTATAATTGGCATTATGAAACAAAACTCGTGCTGCGTTAACAACGAGTCTTACTATCAACTATATTTTGATTAAAATCTCTTAACAATTGACATGCCATTTATGTACAAGGTTAATGGCAGGGGAAGTTCCACGTGCTAAATACAGAATTCATGTGTGAATATAAAGTATGCATGATACTTGTTCCTGTATCATTTTATGAGGAAGGTTTCTATTTTTTTTTACATATAACATTTTCCTTATGATTAAATTGTTCTTCTCTCCTAATGATGAGTTAGGAATTCCTTCCACTTCTCCAAAGTTATGTATATTCACGCTTTTAGAGCCTTTATTGAGGAAATTGGTGCAACATATACAAGGAGTCTTATTATATGTATAAAATCTCTTAACAGTTGACATGGCATACTTCACCTGTAAGGTTAATGAGTGGATAGGTTCAATGTGTAAACATATACGCAGATGGTGGGTTAATCTAATTTACACTTGATATCTTATTTGAACTTGTAGCATTTTCCTTGCATATGACCTTTGGTCCTATCAACACCCCTTCATGCTAAAATCATGTGTAGATTGTTGATTGTGGATTCAACTCCTGCTCCACAGATGGCTATTTATATTACTGAACCAAAAACAGCAAAGGAAAAAGGTTGATTTTATATTCGTTTCTATTTTCATTTCAGAGATCTTGGCAGACAAGGCTTGAAAGGGTACATGAGTGACCAGATTAGTCTTTTGTCAGACTTGGTAAGCTTGTAAGTATCAGTTGCCAAATGTTTAAATATTCCATAAATCTTGCAAATATCCAAATTTTACTAAAATGAAGTAAGAAAATTACTAACTAACTTAGATCTGTAATTTTTCTACACGTTTAGTAGTACTCTGGCTTATATGTTCTTGCAGGATTCATGATCTGCAGTTAATTTTATATTTATGTATTTTTTTTTTTTTTGTTTGGCATATCGTTGCCACTTCAATTTAGAACACTATGAACATCCATTTTCAAAATGATCTGCTTTGGTACTTTCAGCCCTACTAATTCTTTCATTTTGGTGGCTACAGTATTTATGTTTTGATCTGTTAAACCATGATGATAGTATCATAATGTACAGTAGACCTCTTCTGCATTCTACCTGATGAATGAACACCGTAGCCAGTTCAAGGATTTCAATATTTTATACTTTACCTTTTCCTAATTTGTTTGTCCTTGAAATCATCTTTAGAATTTCTTACATATTCTAGTGCATGCCTCAATCTTATATCCACATTCATTATCTATAAGTGTTGCTCTCTATATGCATGTTGGCCACAATTTTGTATTCCTATGCCATATATGTCTTCTATTGCATGCAGCAAGTGTTTTCCTAGATTAACTTTGGTCATGTTCATATTGGTTTTAGTTATTGGTAACTTCTCTTTCATTTTACAGGAACTTGAGTTCTAATTCCTTGGAGGGTGAAATACCTTCTGGACTAGGTCAAAAATCCCTGATACGATTGTAAGATATGATATTATCTCTCTGTTAGTTACAGTTACTTGCTGAGTTGTTGTTTTTAGATGTTATCCAAATGCTTTACAGAACTAAACTGAGCAGATCAGTGGATTTTTATTTTGTATTAATTCACTATCATCTTCCAATGTTATTACCCATTTAAAAGTCATATACTTTTGTCATCATACTACTGAATACGGTATATACAGTCTATATGTGTGTTTTTTGCTCAATTATTTTTAACTTAAAATATATGCTATTTAAATTCTTAAATAATTTGTAATATTATGATGCATCCATGTCAACTATAGTAAAAATAGTCTAACTTAACTATTAGGTGTGGCTTAACGAGCAGACTATGCAGTATGTGAGCGGACCGGGGATTAATCCCACACCTAGAGGGTGTAGCAGTACTTGTTGGTTTTGCCAAAAACAAAATCTAACTTTATTATTTATTTGATATTCTATTTATTTCATTTGTAATTTTTGTTGTAGGGATTTATCCAACAATCAGTTAACGGGCTCCATACCTGACAGTTTAGCATCCTCAAGTTTGCAGCTTGTGTAAGTATCCACTGCATTAATTAATGTGACTGTTTTTTATTTACGTAGCTTGTGTCAGTGACAAAATAGATTCTATTATCCTTGTTCTTTTCTTTTCCTGTCTTGGAAGATGAGTATTCCTCCCTCTAGTTGTAGAAAAATATCCTTTTCTGTCAAAAATGGTGATGCTATAATGTTATGTTCTTTTAAGAAACATGTCATTATTGTCATTCAAGTCATCTTTCCTTGTCATTTAGTTTAGTAAATTAAATTCCTAAAATTATATTGGTGTCAATATATTTTTTCTGCATCGGGTGTTATTTTCTAATTCGTCATTTTGGTATCTTAATGCTCATTTCAACAGCTTTATTTTCCTTGAAGTTTAGGATTGAAATGATAGATAAAGCCTTATTTTCCTTGAAATTTAGGAATGAAATGATAGATAACACTTGACCTCTATTGCTGCATTAGATGGGTGTCCCTTTTATTCTCTAGACAAGTTATACTTACCTCATTTTGTTTTATGCCAGGTTATTGAATGATAACTTATTGGAAGGACGAGTGCCAGAGCAAATTTATTCGGTTGGTGTACATGGTGGAGCTATTGAGTATGTCACCTTAATCTGCAAGCTCATAATGTGGTGTTCAGATTGAAATGCTGGATAAATTAGCTTGCATATGATACTTGCTATTTGGCTTATTATTTTCTGTGTCACTGCGTGCATGCAAGTGTCCACACCTAAACTGAACTGTTGCAATAGTCCCGTCCAGGCTTATGGTATCATCTCTCATCAGCTTTGGATGCCAAACTCAACTTAAATACCTATTCTAACATGAAAGTGCTTCTGTTCTTAAGTGTCTACGATTTTCCCTTGCTACTTCTGCTATATTCTGCCTTTTTTGGGTGTATGGCTATCTTAGTTGCACAAATCTTGTAAGCTGAAGTAAATTTGACTTAGAAAATCTCTTCCACTTTGATTTCCTCAATTTTTAATGGAATAACTAAACTACTTCAACCACAGTAGTTGTGCTGCTGCCTTTTTAAAGGAATAACTAAATTGATTATAACCCATGGCAAGCCTGTCAGTTTTGCATGGATGTTCCGACTAAGATTTTGTCTATCTGAGTAATTAAACATTAGTTGTTATCTAACTTGCTATGGTTGTAATTGAGGCAAAAGAAATTTTATTTTGTATTTAATAAAGGTACAGTTATATTGTTATTGTATAAGCCAATGAGAAATAATTTCTTTCCATATTTAATTTGATTTTTTTCATTCAGTCTCTCTAGCAATAAGGGTTTGTGCGGTGTACCATCTCTGCCATCATGTCCTATGTTTTGGGAGCGCGGCAGATTATCCTCCCGGGGTAAAATTGCAATAGCCTTGTCATTTCTTTTTGTTTCCTGTGTGGTACTGCTGCTGGTATATATCTGCATCAGGAGGAAAAGGAATGATTATGACTTTGGTCTGCCTCATGAATTAATGTGTAAGTATAATTCAAAGAGATTCTGTTTCTGTCTAGCATTTTTATTTTTGTTGTAGCTGCTCTTTTCTGTTACTCTTGAATTGCATAGAAGTACACTTCAATACTTCATACATATAGGATTTGATTTTTGAGCAGTATATTTTGTGTTTCTTGCACTGGCAGTCTTACTGGTTAAAATTTCCATTAAATCTAACTGCCGCTCGCAAGAACATAAAACATCCTTCATAAATTTGATCTTACTTGGGCTGTTATATGTATTATTCTGGTCTTCACCATATGTTCCATTATTTGCTGAAGGTGGAAAAATAACTTTCTAGTGCATGTACGTGCTTAATAGGAATTTGTAACCTTGGAGTAAAAATTGGAATCATGTACCATATCTTTATCTAATCTTTGTTTTGTTATTTGAATAACTTCCATCAAATTGGGTGGGATCAAAGAAGCAGAAGTCATTCAAACCCAGTCAATCTTTTTTTAGTGGCCTACACAGCTCCTGCTATAATTTTTGTATTGTCCTTCCATTGAAAATGTTTAATTTGAGCTGTTAAATTCACTAACTGACAACAAATGTTTGGTTTTATATGGATTTCGGATGTTTAATCCCTGTGCTAATTGTCGACTATTTTGTGGCTTCTTTTGCAGCATTGGCTGCAAAGAGAAACAAATATCAGAGGCAGAAATCGTTGATGCTTCTAGAGCTGGAGAGTCAACATGCCAAGGGTTTACCTTCACCTTTTACCCCACAATAATTGGTTTTTTAAATGAAAATGGTAGATTGGTTTTCATAGTTTGCGTCTAAACATACACCGTTACTGCTTAGAGAAAGTAGTTAAATCTTACAAGCTTGCAAGCTTCTCTGCTTGGCCATGTCGCAATGCTGCATTAGTGTTAAGATGGTTTCTGGGGTTTGCTTTTCTCCTACAACTTTTTGTCGAGATCGATTGTGCGAGATACCTATTGCCATGCACTGTGACAATTGTTTCCTTAGTCATTATACAAAGGCATATTCCTGGTTATATCAATAGTCATCCAAAACTCCTGGTAAATATGTGATAGGAACAAACCATATATACAATTTGAGCCACAAGTTAGTGTCCAGTTTTTCATGTTACATCAATTCTGCTTGATTCTTAACACTATACTGATTTATGTAGCAAAACGTGAGTGAGTATTGTCGAAGCCTTTCCACACTTATACTCAAAACATTGCATGATAGATAAAATTCCGTACCTTTTACTAATATAAATACGTGTATTATTGATTTGTTTACTTTACCTAAGACTACAATTTAGAATTCCTGACAATTGCTCTATTGATTTGCAACTTTCTTCTTTGGTGAGAATATCCTATAGCTAGATGAAGTCAGCAGAATGATTAAAGAGAGCTAACAAACACCGTTTCACAGAATTTTTAATTTTTATTGTCAATGGCCCAAGGGTCTAAAGGTAAAAGGACTACCACTAACTTTTAGTGACCCTGTACAGCATAAGTTCAACTGTCTTCAGATCTTCATCATTATTCTCCTTGGAGAATCCTGCTGTTTATTCCGCAAGCATTGGAAGAGTATTCATTAATGTAATGGTATTAGTAGTCGGTACAAGTTGAATAGGCATGCAAGTTCGGTATGTTGCCCTATCCTGACCTCAGTAACGAAACCTAAAGTCGCAGCTAAAGCTTAAGCGAGGGTTCAAAGGTTGCGCCTTAAATTGTTACAAAGAACCGGACCCTCCTTCCTTGTATATTCAATACACTAATTTCTTGAGGGTAATGCTGTGACTGTGGGAGGGGGATCAAAGTGCATGACAACCCTTCGAAATTGGCCTTGTTGAAGACTCGAAACGTGCATCCCTCCAAGGAAAGACAAAAAAAGTAAACACTAATCAAAGTTATCCTTCTGATTTATTATTTCAAATATACTTAGGGACAGAAAATTCTGACTTAGGAATTCTAAACTTTATTTAAAAGACTTCAATGCCGACAAGTTTAGGAAATAACACAAAACATTACTCAGCTGCCTTAGAATCACGTGCGTAAAAAATAAAAAATAAAATAAAAAAAAAACAGTTTGGAATCCATACGAGGCATTTGGGTCAAAGCAGCCCACTATAGCATATGGGTTGGGCTCAATGATCTGGATAAGTAGCCATCATCTTAATTCAAGTATAATTCGTTTGTTCAGCTTTACATTTTTCTGAATACAAGCCTTGCTAGCTGCTGCTGCTTTTTTTTTTTTTTTTTTTTCCGGTACACATTTAATACTCGAATGATTCAATATAGAGGTTGAAATTTGAATATCTTCATATGGGATTCAACTACAATTTATTTTTTATAGCCATTTGCACTTTCAAAATTATCCAAGTTAGACGGCTTTCTTAAAACTTTTTATGGAGTATTTTTTGAGATTTTCAATAATTTTAATTTCAAAGAAGTGAGCCATATATTAGATAACTTTTGCTACCCTTAACGAAATAATCTAAGTCCTAAGGTGTAACAGTACACGTCTTCATGAAGTAGATGGACTTTCCTCCAGCTTGCATTCATAATGTTTGTTGTCATTAAAACCAAAGAACCAAATATGTAATGCTCATTATAGGTACTCTCATCGTTCGCATTCTACATGTTAAGGTTCGAGAAAGTTGAATTTATAGTCTAAATGAATCTAAAGTTATAGGTTCTTAATTAATTAGGTTATACAAATGGAGTTAGAGTTGTATAGTTTAAATGAATCTCGAAGTCAGTTGAGAAGGATAATTAATATAGGGTTAAGGTTTGAGCGGGAATGCTAAATATTGTAGCTTTGATCTGGCATTGTTAATACTGTAAACATAGGTCATATTGGGGCTCTAGTTATTTGTACCTTTTCCCGTATTTGGCACCCATTTTTTCAGAAGTGATTATATTATGAGTTTGTGGAATTCGTAGAGCTACACTCCCCTCAAAATTGTCAATGTTAGTCATATGCCTCGAAGCAATGTCAAATTACTTACCAGTTACAATGCATGCATTTTTATTGCTCAAAACTTTGACCGAAATCATAAACATTGAAAAGTTTTAGTATTCAACTAAGAGTTGTGATTCAATTGACATTAAATTTACTTCTAAAATCGCTATGTTCGCAAACCGAACCTTTCATCCACGCTGCACGTAGTAGACTTTCTTTATATTAGGGTGAAAAATAGTACTTTAAAATTCTTATTAAACACCAAATGGTGGTAGCTCAGTTGGCGCATGGGAGCTGAGCAGGTGGGGTGAGGGCATGTGTTCGAATCTCCCCAGTACCACCTTTGGGAGGAGTTTAAAGCCTTAATCCTGGACCCGCCCCGAATCGGACTAATCGCGAAGCGATGAACCGATGGAATATTTCCAAACAAAATTCTTATTAAACACGTCAAGTCAACTATCTCATGCTACCCCAGTCATCTATATATTAACCTTTGAGTTGCGTCCTTCTTGGGAGAACACAGAGAGATATGCATAAGTGCTTTTGTGTCAGATTTGGCTGTATATAATTGGTAATAGCAAGCATTCAACTGAGTTTTCCCTATACCTAAATACGTATGGAATCCAACGACGTTGTTAAGTTACAATTCACGAAGAAGAATTTGAACTACAGGCATTGACTTGGACCAAACCAAAATGATGAACAACCACTAACGCATGTGTGGAAATTGACTTTAACAAGCATACAACGAATACATGACTTTTAAGACGCAACACGTTAATAATTTATATTCCTCTCTCTGAAACATTTTCTGTTCTAGCCATGCTTTGACTGAAAAGAAGAATTCAAACTCAATGAGTGTAGTACTAGTTATTATATAATAAGATATACCTAATAAAAAAGCATGAAATGTTGCACTGAAACTTCATATTCTTGTTCTTCTTTTCAACAAATATCAAACACAATTGTGAATCTAATCTAGTAATCTTATTATTTATTAGGAGATTGTCTACAAATTCCTGACCTATACATAATGCGTATTATTAAACTTTCAAAACAGTTTAACTCTGTGTAATGTGATGGCTTAAGTGTGCAGCCATAGATAATGTTGGAAAATTAATAATTAACTGATGTTAGGTGGAAATGTGATATATTAATTAGGTACCATTCAAGGGATCCCGATCTCCACGTCAGTAACTTTTACTATATATATAATAAAGCAAAATTTTAAGCATATGGAATGCGCAAATGGTTTTTAAAACCATAAGCCCGTGTTCGATTTGATCATATTGCGCATTTGCAATTTTTATTTTCGTAGCAGGGTTTCTAGTAATGGGGGTTATATGTATAAATTTTTTTGTTTATAAACTATACTATGTACTCCCGAAAGTACACTAGGTTACTCTATGTATTTTCGGGAGTATATAGTGTAATTTGTAAAAAATTGTAAACAAAGTTTGTAAACAGATTATTCCCCGTAGATTATTGCGAAAGAGTTCAAATTAGTTCAAATGGAAAAATTAATATTAATTAATTACTATTAAGGAGTAATATTTAATTTAAATGGAAAAAAATTAAAATGCTTAAAAAGTACAATTCAAATTTTAATTCAAAAAAGACCATATAATTCCACCTAATAATCAAAACTTATCTTAATAAAATTTCAATCATCAATCTATTTCTCTATTTTATTAAAGTTTTATTATGTTTGTTAATTTTGTCTCATCTCTCTTTGCTTTTATGTTGCTTGTTAAAGCTTTACCTCCTTCATTCTTTTCTTTTTTCAAGTATAAACTGTTCCTAAGGCAGAGATGTCTAACCGGAGGTTAGATGATTAATGTTGGATCTAATGTTTTCTCTCTAGATACTTATGAATTAGGTATCTTGGGGTAGCGAATCACGACACGATATAACGGCCTTTGCCAAAGGGGTGTGTGTTCACTGTGTGATTGCATAAATAGAGTTAAAAAGAGATCAGTCATACTTGTGGTCTTTAGCTCCTAGCTACTTATAGAGTTTACCTTTGAGCTTGCGTTACCTGTCCCATGGACATTGGCTTTACTCAGGTCCATAACATAAACAATTCAAAAAAAAAAAATATGAACTATTCCTAAGTTCTTAAATCATTATATTTTATATGTTATTGAGAAATATTTTTGGAGATTATTACTCCTAATTTTAAAAGAAAGAAAAAAGAAAAAAAATGATCAACACTGTTAAGTTCAATGTGAGTGAATTTTGACATGGCATGTAACGTTTGGTGTTAACAGCCATGACTCCATGTTTAATTAATCGATCATTGTCATTAAATTGTCAACATATGCATGGTTGTAGGTCCTTCTTGAATGGTTAATTAACAATACTCATTGAATGATCGATACTTTAATCTTTGTTGTTAATAGTTATCACTCGTTTTCTATTAGTTATTAACAAACACTGGGTAACGAAATATATAGAATAAACGATCTTTCCTCTTGAACTAGCTTAACTAAGTATACAAGTTATCTTGAACTAATTACTTTAGTTAATTAGGCAAGCAAACGCCTAGTTGCTTAGGCAGTCGTTGAAAATACGTGTTGACTATTTACTTTAATTAATTCAATTATAATTTTATGTGGTTCAGGATTATTATAGCCCGATATATGGCTTTGATTTTTCCTTTCTTTCTAGTATATTAAGGAAGAGTTTAAAGTCTTCTATGTATAGGAGAAAAAATTATCTTCTACATATATATAAAAATATTTTTATTTTTCTCACGTGCAACACAAAAAAAAGGGGTGAGACCCACTAAAAAAGATAGATAAAATAAAAAAGTGAATCTCATTCACTTTTTTTTTTGTGTTGCATGAGACAATTTGTCTCATGCAACATGAGAAAAAAAAAACTCATATAAAAATATGTGAGACATATATTTTTCTTTTTTTTTTCTTTTTTTACATGACCCTATATGAGCTCCTTACACATATATAAGAAATAATTTTATCTTCCACAATACGAGAAACATAAACATATATGCATTCCTTCGTCCAAGACAATTATTTATCAATATAATAGGATTATATTGATAAATATTTTTTTAC